TTTCAAATAACCCATACCATAAATAATAACTAAAATAGTAACATCAAAAAGTTACACAAAAAAACAGTTACACCATAAAGTTACATACTATGAATATTTATATTTAACATGCAATTCAACGTAACAAATATTCAACATAGTTACAACCATTAAGTAGCATATATTCAACACAGATACTCAATATAATTACCAATAACAAATATAAGAATGAAATATTTAAAATCTTAAAATAGTTAGTTAACACAGTTACGACCATTAAAATTTTTTTTGAAACTGTTTATAATTTGTATTCAAATAATTTCAACTTTTAAATTACTTATTCAATATAAAAGAGTTCGAGTTATTTAGTTTCATCTCTGAAAATTAGAGTTTTATAATTATGTTTTTGGTTTTACAAACAAAAAAAAAATCAAAGATTTGACAATAAATAATGAAATCTACACAATAGTAACTACAAAACAAAAGACAATATTCACAACAGTTACTACAAAACGAAAAACGAAATGGAATACTTTGAATCCCAAATAGTTACTTAACACAATTAGTTTTAAAAAAAAAATATTATGTTTGAAAGTGTTTACATTTTTCATCTGCAGATAATTTTACTTTTCTAATTACTTATTCATTAATTACAGAGCTACAATTTCTTACTCTCATCAACGAAAATAGGGTTTTATATTTTGTTTTTTTTTCAAAAGCAAATTACTTAGTTCTGTGCAAAAAAATAAAAAAACAAGAACTACATAATAATAAAATATAAAAAAGGAAACTCGAATGTCACCTGCAATTTCCAGTAAAAAAGTTGTCGGCAACGATGAACAGGTATTAGACTGCAAAATCGTCAGATTTTCACTGTCGTATTCTTCTTTTTTATTTTTTTGGGAAATTTTAGTATTTATTCTCATATAATTTGTAGCATTTTAATCAAATCCCCATTGCCAGAGAGTCCCATTGTTGAAGGAGAAGGGTTTTGATCATTAATGCCTCTATTTTACCTCTCATTACTTAAATGTAGCCAAAACATATGGAAGGAACACAAAGGGTTTCAACCTCCAGCTATTTACCGAATGACAATATTGTCATTTTTGAAAAATATGTTCTTTAGTACAAATAAAATTTTTTGTTATATTTTTACTCAATTAAGTCTAAAAAATTGTATCGACTTCTAAATTACTGTTTTTTATTTTAATTGGGTCAATGGGATGGATCGTAGTCCTACCTGATGGGCTGGACCAGTTAACCATGTGTAAAGCAAAATCAAATAAATCTCATTATTGGTCTGACTTTTGTATCAGTGTCAGTTATTTTATGGCAATACACGTTAGGGCCTAATATTGAGATGAATATTTTCTCTAATATATTTTATTTGAATTTTTATCACGATGAATTATTCACTATTAATGAATGAGAGATCTATTTACAGACACCGGAACCCACTCGAATGAATGATATGTAATCTGTCAAGCAATGAATTAAAAAATATATATATTAAAGGACATCTCAGTCTTAATTATTATTTTTGTGATTGACGGCTACAAATGAATCAATTAAAAATCAATGATCATAAATTATTACATATGTAATCCTGATCATTACTTTAATCCACTGTGCTAACACCCTTTAATTTTAGTAATTATATTCTCAAAACAACTATAAGATCGGTAAAAGTTTGTCGTTACATAATTCATATATGTCATGATTGATTGACTCATAAAAATAGTTTATTAGCATCCCAAAGCAAGATTTTTTATATCATAATAATAATAATAATAATAATAATAATAATAATAATAGGAAAAAACAATGAGTGGAATCTATAAGATAAGGATACTGGGGTTTCCCAACAAACATCAAGTGATAATGAACAATGAATTCATGTACCAAACATGCCTTTGCCCATAATAAAAATTTAAAACCTGAATTAAAAAAAAAAACTTTCAAATTGCAAAACTGATTTTGTCTGAAGCACACTAACTTTTAGAAGGTCCAGTAGCAATCATGGAATAATCGTCTCCCTTGGTCTTATCGATAACCTTGGTTTATTCAATTTGAGATTTTTTTCAATTAATTTATTGATATTGACAATGATTTTGGGTTTCAGAGAGAGAACCTTGGTTTATTCAATTGAGATTTTCTTTCTACTATATTATTTGATATTAACAATTACTTTTGGAGAGAGAGAGAGAGAGATTTTTTCATAATTTCCCTTTTTTATTATATATTCTATAAGATTTGTAGAATTTTATGCATTAGATAACATGATATCTATCTTATTTTTCAAACTACAATGGTGTTCATGAAGTCATGGTTGAGCGAATGTTTTTCAATGTAAAAGCAGGTTCATAAAACACATTTTTAATAGAATTTTTTTTTGAGACTTTATGTTACAAACACTCTTTTAGACTAACTATCATAGAATCAATTTACGTATATTAATGATTCTAATTTTCCAGACAAATTAACAAGGCAAAGAAACACTTCTCCTTAATGTTAGATACAAAGGTGGTCAATGGTTTTTTTTTTTTTTTTCTGGTTTTTTGTGCTAGCTTTGTATTTAGTTGATGACCCTCATATGGCATCCGAGTTCTTAAACAAGTATCTTATGGGTACTCTCCCAAGTAATTGACCAGATCAGAGATGCAGAGAAATGAAGCCAAACACTAGAACTAAACAGCTCGAGCACCACCCACACTAGTCAGAGATTGTCCCAATCAAGTTGGCTGAACAAAGAAAACTAGCCCTATTTTAATGCTATTGTCCACCAATAATAATAGCCAACATGAATTTCTATGCACAGAAGTGGTAGGGTCAAACTACAAGACAGTATGTGCACAAACAAGAATGATTTTAACTCTCTCTCCCTCTCTCTCTCTTATATGCATAATAAGTGCCTTTATTCGGTCATGGATGAAGTAATCCTATCCGTAGGGCTTTGAAACCAAATCCATCTCCTTGGATTAGTCAAAAGAAAGCCAAGCATGAAACTACCATCCATTTTTTGCTAGTACTTCAAAAAAAAGGACTTGTTTAACTTACCACCCCAAAGAAAATTGAGACAAAAATCAAGAAAACTTGTGGGGATCAAATTCAAGTCCCAGACCTGATTCATGAAGGACTTGTTTTTTCTACCACGTATACACCTCTTCTTAGGCAAGGTTCGAACCTCAAATCTCCCGGTTAAGAGGTAAGCTTTAGTTAAGTTATGCAATTCGTGAACTTTTTTGATCTAGTAAACACTAAAATAATCCAAGTAAACAGTACTTCACTGGATTCACTTTTGTGAAATGCATGTGGGAGTGGTTGGATGTTTGTGCGTGTGTATGTGAGAGAGAGAGAGAGAGATTTGAATTTGGGTGATAAATTGATGAAAATGAAGCAACAACAAGAACCGGCTTCGCTTTAACTTAAAAATCTAAAAGAGGGAAAAGATCTTTCTTTTTTTATCCTTTGTGATAGTGAAACATAGATTGTGGATCAAGCATGCAAGAAAAGATGCAGATTTTCCACCAGGAACCCCACCTCCGCGACACCATATGCTTACATGGGAATAATGACAATCCCCACATTATCATACTTGAAGGAGAAAGGCCTATGGCTCCTCACTGGCTAGTTTAATGACATACAAGGCATCAACCTTTCTCCGTACTTGATTTCTAATCTCTGGTTTATTAAATGGGAAATGTTATTTGAATCTTATTTAGGGACTTTATTTAGGAATCTAATGATGTATAACCATTGGATTAGTTGTGGGCTCCATCTAACATTGAACCCACAACTAATCTAATAACTTTTATGGTTTGTTGCATACTGTTTTTCCTCTCTCTCTCTCTCCCTTACAATCTGTTACAGACAGTTATCAAGTTCAAAGACTTACAATTTCACTGGAGTTCAAAGTGATTACTCAAATAGTAGCTTTTTTTTGCCATTTGTGTAGTTAAAAAAGTAGGTCTAATATACGAGACTCCTATTGATGTGGGGTCTGGGAGAGTCAGAAATTTTCAGTTTTACACTTACATGTGGAGAGATTGTTTTTACAACTCCAACCTTTAATGCCTAGTTCATAATGACACAATCCTATGGTTGCGTCAACATCCACATTCTTTTGATCATTGATTAGTTGTGTCCAAATAAATCAGCCATAGTTTCATGGTGCGAAGATCTTGCACGTTTTCTCACGATATTCCTGTCGACACATCTGTGACATGAGCATGGGCATATATCAGTTAGGAAGCTCCTTGAACAAAAGGGTTGATCAGACACCAACATCTGCATCCAAACCCATAAATTGAAAAGAAAAAGTTATGTTCATCTGTGAAGGCATGTGAGCTAGGGGTGAAAGGGGGGATTGAAGTTCTGGTAATAAAATTCATGGAGAATAGCATGAAGATGATGAAGACTGAAGAGGAAAAACTATTTTATTTCTTCGATTTTAAAAACTGAACCTGCACACATTTGATCCAGTTCAGATCATGCATTGCATGAGTCTCGTACACTAGGCTACCCTTGTCTCTATCCTAACAACTCGAAGAATAATGGATTGGAAAAAAAGGAAAATTTTTGGGGAAACTTCAAGTGACACTAGGAGAATCATCGGTTGTTCTGCACCCTGTTTTGGTCGTGATACAAGTCGTTCTATTTTCATTTGATCTCAATTGCCAGTTCTGCAGGATTTGGTTTGAATATATACTAGCTCTTTTATCTGTTTGGACAAACATTGCTTTAGATTTATGTACATAACACTAATTTAATCCTATGTTTCTTTTAGAAGTATAACAAACCACAGACATTTGAGATAAGGCTCTGAAATTGGCGAAAAGGTCTTCACTATAGTAGTTATGGCTGATGACGTGTTGGAACTTGGAAGAGACATGCTAGGATCAAACCTATGATCTCATTATTGCTACAAAACACAATAATGGAACTTCATGGTATAGACCTACGAAAGAACATAATTCCAAGTAGACAATACACGCAGGGAAAAGAAATCACTGAAAATTGATCTTCCATTGATATACATAGGGATTTATGTACAAGTTACAGTGTGGTCAACTAGACCTCAAACATACTCTCTCAACCTCCGATTAGCTCTTTTGCTCACCAGGGTGGTTCACATTCGTAATACATAGCAATTAACTAAATATTTACATTCGCCAGAGCTTGTGTTTTAGATGTTAGTATCGCAAAATTTGCCATCCATCCTGTTTTGAACTGCTTTGACCGCAGTAACTCTCGCAGCAGTGGCCGCTTTGTTTGCAGCCACAACTGCCTTGTTTACTTGTTCATCCACCCGACGAAGGTGAATAGCATTCTCTGCTGTCTTTCTAGCAGCCTGCAAATTTAGCAAAGACAAAAGAGAAAAAGAAAGGTCAAATGGATGAAACAGTTTGCAATGTGTCACTGCTCAACAAGGAGGTTGTTAGAAGTATTGAATGATGCATCAATGGTGAATAATTCACCTGAACTGCTCGAAGGACCTTATCTGTTAATGGGGGCAAGGGAGTCGTGAGGTTCCCACAGTCCCATTCACCACATCTTGCATCACTGTTTTGGATGGTATACATGCCATAGCCTTGCTTACGGCCTTCATGCCATGACCCCTTGTAATAGTGACCATTAGCAAAGTGATAGACCCCAAATCCATGGATTTTATCTCCAAAATACTCACCAGCATATCCATCCCCGTTTCTGCAAATCGATCAAATACATTACCCTTCCATTCTTTCACTAAACTTGGGTATTCAATTCTAGAACATTCAGTTCAAAAAAACAAAACAAAAAAAACTAGATACATATCCGAATCCACCTCAATTGTAAGAATCATAGCAAGAAAGAAATCTTAATCTGAAAAAATGTATCAAAGATATTTGGAACATTGGCTAAGCAATCAATTTCTTCTCTTAGCGTGAAGATTTTACACTCGATGACATACACAAATTGTCAAACCATATAGCCGATACCAGTAAGTTAATTCGCCAACAAAATTATACATACTCCGTCTCCATCCAATAGTCCAAAATCAAGAAACTGAACAAGAAACAACATAGCCACGAGAAAAACATAATTTCTATCAGCTCAAAAGGCAGATTTCATTAAAAAGTGCACAAACCGCATGACGAATGAAGCATCCAATTTTTGAAGATTTCAAAAACTGTGTATACAGTGTCAAACAGACATCCTTTTTCGGAAGAAACCGCAATAGTAAAGAACAATCTTTACTTTGCACTGCGGATGAAGCAGAAAAAAACTGTGAATTGAGTGACACACTTAATAAAACAAAATCCAAAAATAGTAATCAACCCACATAATAACAACAATCATATCAATAGCAAGAAATTTGAAACCCAAGATATAAATCAATAAAACCAACCATTGAAGTTAAGAAAACCGAAATTCACCTGAAATGGTAACACCCGAGGCCATGCTTGACCCCACACTTAAACTCTCCAACGTAACAGCTCCCATCAGAGCAAGTCTGCATTCCAACACCATGACTCTGCCCATTACACCACTCCCCAGCATAACTATCCCCAGTATAGAACTTATAAACCCCATAACCATGCCTTAAACCCTGCCGGTATTGCCCACGATATCGGCTACCTTTAGCCCATCTCTCTATCCCAAACCCATCATACCCGCCATCAATCCAATCACCCTCATACTTCCCACTCACAAAGTAGTTGTACACTCCACTCCCATTACGCCTCCCCTTATGAAACTCACCCTCGTAGAAATCACCATTGCTGTAAAATACCACACCTTCCTTTGTAGTTATGTTATCTTTCCGATATTTTCGCTCTTTCTTGGTCAAATTCGATTCACCAATGAACCACTGCACCGGTTTTGAGTGGTTTCTTGAAAACCCAAGTCTACCTAAGTACTCGTCGCACAATTGCTTCACAAAACTGAAGCTTCGGTGAATTAAAACCTTGTTTTTCCCGGCGAAAAATAGTAAAACCGCGAAGAAAATCAGAACTAAGAGCAAATTTTCAGAAGTGGGTATATCATCCCGGTGAAAGAAAAGAAAAAGGCTATACAAAGAAAGTATAGCTATCCCCAGAAACGGGAAGAACCGGGATGAACCGGAACGACCCGGCGTGAACCGGGATGAACCGGGCTTGTGGGGCTTCTGTTCTTCTATGTCTTCTTCATCAGGTGTGATGTCGTTCACCGAAGACATGCTGTGGATAGAAGATCGGATGGTCGGAGGCGACCGGAGGAGTGAAGATTGAGTCCTTGTAAGTTTTGCCTGAGTTTTATTACCGTCCATTGTTTGTGGGTCCCTCTAGAATCTCTCAATTTCAGCTGTGGAATATTTCTTCCCTACTGGACCATCCTGTATCTTGATATTGTTGTCATGTGTTCTAATCCGGGCGTCATATCTCCGTCGGGGTGAGCAGGATAAGCAGTGGTCAGAGCGCAAGTTAGCACTAAGAAGTGAAGTAAAGAACATAACAGAGCAGATACAGGGAAGGAGAGAGAGAGGGTAAGAGTGGAGTCGGCCGGGTTTTGTATGTGGGTATTTATAATGGGGTTATGGGGATGGAGCCAGATGGGTTTAATCTAGGCCGTTAGATGGAAATTGGAGAGTGGGATTTAAAGATGGACTTATGGCCGTTAGATGGGGGAGTCTATAGAAGTTGCGGTCTTGGCGGGAAAATATGGTCGTCGGATCTAGATTCGGTCTTTTTTCGCTTTACTGTTTCAGACCGGCACGTGCCTTCACATTTATTTGGAGATATTTTGTAAGAAAAAAGAATAGGATGTCTTATTGAGAAAATATTTATTGCGACGGTTACCCCGTTCAATAATAACTCAATAAGCGAATAAAACGGATTTCACTCCTTTAAATAATTATCTGATCATGTAAGAATAGCCCCAACCTAATTCTCTATTTTAGTTATTCAGAATATATTTAAATATTATAATTTTTTTATTTTTGAGAGTCATTTTTATAAATTCACTTTAACCACATTCTTTATTTTTGCTAATTACTTCATCTAACTTTCACTAACATTCAATAATTTAGAAAGAATTACACACACACACACACACACACACACATATATATAGAGAGATAGACAGATAGACAATTTGGAAAGGATAAATAGTTCTCCATATTTGGAGAGCTATTTGGGTGAAATGAAAAATAGAGAGTGGGTTAAAAATTGGGTTGAAGAGTGTTTTTAGTGTTTGACTAGTTAAAATTACTAAAAAAGAGGAAATAGAGCGAATTAGAGTTGCTTTAAGATAGTAATCACTCAATGTAAAAAAATTAGGTTAACCTTGCGCCCTTGTTTACTTATCATGGCTGGCTCAATGGCTAGGTCATTGTAGCCACCGCTTTAGGCTTTTCGAATTTTTGAAGTTCCTATTATTAAGAGGTTTAAGTAAATCTAATTATAGTTCGGAAAAAATTAAATCTAATTCTATTTTTAGGGTCTGAAAACAAAGTTAGAACAATATTTAGCTAAGTTCACTTTACTTTATTGTGTCTCGAATAAAAATATTAGACACATTTTATTCAACCTAATTTTATTCTTAGAGTTCGAATAAAATTTTTAAAACTCATGTTCAAATTTTGTTTAGGGTCCCCAAAGGAAATTTAGGACCCAAATTTAATTAGGCCTAATTTTATTTTTGAAGGCTCTTATAAAATTTATATACTTATATTAAATCAAACTCAATTTGATTTTTAGGGCCTCTAAAAATTTATAGGAAAGATTTTAGATCCAGGTCTCATTAATGTGATACTAATTTCTTTCTTAATAATGCTACTAATATTTTACAATCTACCATATGTAACAAAAGTATATAATAGTTTTTTGAATATACTATTGTCAATTAGTTTGAATAACTTGAAAATTATTTCATTTCTGATTTTTCTAAAATCTAATAATCTTTTAATAAGTTAGAGTTGTTTAGATTTGAATTGAGTATGTTGAGAATTTATTTATATTGTAAATGACAATATAAGAGTCTATAATATTTGGCTTAGGTGTTTTTATTGCTGAATTTATTTTTTTTTTCATTGATTGTATCAATATTAAATGTAGTAAAATCATATATTTCCCTTATATTAATTACTGCAATTTATTTGAATTAGCTACTATCTATTGGGAAAAAATTATTAACAAAACTTGAATACAAAAAATTCATCAATAAATAACTTGCATCTCAAAGCCAATAATATAATTTGCAATAAATAAATTTTGAGATTTAAATAATTATAAAAATGTTATTGATATTATTTCAAAAACTTAATAGGGTCTTATTTAAATTTTTGCTTTAGGCCTGGTTAGTGTTGGGCCACTTTGGTTATACTACATAACAATATTGATCCAGTATAACCGTTACAAAATATTTACTCTTTTTTTTTTTCTTTGGGTGGGGGTATGGTATTAAGTTGCATTGTGGTTGCTATCTCACCATAGGCTTTGTGTATTTACTGTTTCAATGGATCCAGGTGAATCACAAGCAGCAAATTTACTCCGTGGAAAAGGAAAGAGAAATTAAATGATAGAAATTAGAAAAGAATACCATCAATTTTAATTCAACTGTTGCGCTATCTATAATATAAAATATTACAGGTTTCAATAAGTCCATCAAACGGTTACCAACATCTCTCTCATAATCATTCACATTATGTCGTGTCTTCTGATACGAATTATCTTTAATACAAAATAAAAGAGTCAGATAACAGTTACCAATTTACATCGTATGTTTGGTAAAATCACTTATTTTGTGAAGTTTTGCCCAAAAATAAACACTAATCTTCTGTGTACCTTTAACTTATAATACATTTGACTAAATAGTGCGAGTAAAAATTATTAAAATTTTACATATGAAACTCTTGGAAAGTATGATCTCTTATAAAATATGGAGATACTAGTTATAAATTGTGTGTTTGAAAACACTTTATAATTCAAAAAATAAAGCATTGATAGTGTAATATTTATATTCTAAATAACAATTTATTTTTTATTTTATTTTCTTTAAGAGATAGGTATGGATTAGTGTGGTGTTCTTGGACATTAGGGGCCGTGTAGGAAAAATGATATTTTTGAGCGGAAAAAGAAAATTGGACGAATTTTATACCGTTTGATCAAAATAGATGAAATTGGATTAACATTGATCGTTGTTATACTTTTATAAGTTGAGAATTTAACTTCTTAAATGTAAAATAAATTAATAATTTATTGACATAAAAAATGTAGTATATATAAATCCAAATAGTGTTCTAATCCAATTTACTTTTCTCAATCCTTCCATAATAGAATAAATAAACTTAGGCTTTCTTTTGGCCACTTCATATATATGCAGAAAACTATAATTTTACATATCTCATAAGTAACAATAATGCTATGTAGATTTAATTAGATAAAACTATGCTGCACAATTTTTTTAACAAATCTTGTATCTCAAGTGATGTGTCGAAATCTCGTACATTGAATATTTGGTATTGTTAGTGGATCCCACTAATACAATCACTTGCATTGATTTGAGATGTAAAATTTGGATTACAATTTGATCAGCCTAACATTACTCTTAATTTTTTGAGTTAATTTATATTGTTGGATTAATAGTGGATTCCATCTAATATTAAAATTTGTTACTAATTTAAGAACAATGAATTAAGTCAATAAATTAGATTTAAATAACATTATTCTATAAGTAAATTAACTTATTAATTGGCTTTCCACTTTTAAAGAATCTTCAGCAACTGTCTTGGTGGATTTGTTGGCCACTGAATTGGCAGAGACTTCAGACCCTCTATGTTGCACCAGGTTAAATGACCTTACGTTTTGTCATCCATCCAATTCAAGGACCATGCAGTATACAAACATTGACGGAGCTGACTAGGTACTCAATTACTATTTTTAGTATTATATCTCTATTTACCATATTTGTTCATATTTTTATTATTATTACGTTACTCAAAAAATTTTAAAAATAGTTACCACAACAATGATAAAAACATTCACAAATGCGATAAAGCACTCACAAATGTTATAAATTACCCACAAAATGATAATTTTTTGTACCCAAAAAAAAGAAGTAAAAATAGTTACTTATGTTATAAAAACACCCACAATAGTGATAAAATCACCCATAAAAGTGATAAATTTTTTGTTTTAAAATGATTTATAAAAATTATAAAAACACTTATTAAAATAATAAAAATTAGAAGTATGGTACCGAATATACATGTAATAGCATAATAATATTATAATTCAGTCAATAATGTTACAATTTAATTAAATTATTCTATGAATAGTAATTACAATCAATTTACACTATGAACAGAAATTACAATCAACTTACACTATGAAAAAAGGAGAGACCATTGAAAGAGAAGACGAAGAGAGGTATAAATATATCAATCTCTACCTTGGAGAAGGATTAAGCCCTGACAATCATTGGACAATTTAAACATTTTCAATTATCAAAAGGGTTCGAGGGGAAATTTGATTGTTCCTTAGTACACATCTATTTAATCAAATTTTGTAAAATTTTTATCTAATAAGTACGCCATCAACCAGAAGGTCTTAATCCTTTCCTTTTCATGCTCACATGGTGAAATTCAAAAAAAAAGAAAATAGTATAATTATAGGGGACTATCATGTTTTCTCCCTTGATATCGTAGATAGAAAATAATTGAAAATGATGTGATTTTAATTTTAGAAACTAACAATCTATCTCTTAATACTATAACAACAGAAGGGGCGTCAATATAATTTAGTCATAAGAGTAATAATAGTTTTTTGAACTGTCCATTGATAATAACAATAATCACACGACGGTAGATGTGACCACAAATTTTGACACTTGGGCTTGCGGGCCGAAATTCTCATGTTACCTTTACAAGAGACCATTAGATGTGGTAGGTCCCTGAGAAATAAAGTTGATAGAAGGCCTCTGCTTTTAAACATGCAATGGATGGTTTTTTTTATCATGCAGCTTGAAGGTACGGTGTGATGTAAATTAATCAATTAATTAGAGAAGTAAGCAGTTAAAAGTGAGGAGAGAAATGTAAAATTTAACGTGAATAATTTTTTGAGGGATGGTGGTGGCCGTTAAATGAGTTTATTTGAGACCGTCGAATAAATTTATTAAAGTCTGTCATATTTTATATTATAAATAGTTCGTATTTATTTTATTTGTAGAAATCTTCCTACATTTAATTTTCCCTTGATTTAATACAGTTCAAAATCTTAGAGAGAGATGCTTCTAGAAAGAGTGTGTTTGCAAAGCATCTTTTTACATTAAAAAATACGGGTTGAAATCATGCTTTATACAAACAACAACAGATTGAAAATAAGTTTAATACTCAATGGTAGAATAGAAAAAATTTGGTATCCTTAAAGACTAGAAATTAGAGGTTGTAATCGTGGTGGGGAGACTAAATTTAAGGAATTGGACCAAACTTCTTTATGGAGGATGATGCTATTTATACGGCTTCTTTGATACCATTTCAACTGAACTCACTGTATTTGACAAACTACACAAATTTGTCATGGACCCGACCTCATACATGGCCATGGAAATACAAACAAAAAGCATTGGCCAGTGACTAGTCAATTTTGAACCAGTGGCTTCTCACTCAAACACAAACAAACAAACACGCACACGCAAACGCACACACATGTAGAAAAAGAGAGAGAGAGAGAGAACTATCTAGAGAAATATACTTATTTTTTTTATTGTTGGAGGCTCTAAGTTTTGAATTTCTCCCATACACATCAATATTAGTCTGTCACCCTTGATTTATTCACTTGCTGGATGGAAGTCACCAGCATTACATGGGATGCCATAACTTTTAGGCTAGCGATTGAAATTGAAAAAAAAAATCGAAATTTGAGAGGATGTGAATCCTTTAGAACAAGTTTAGACTTGTGATCATGTATAGTGGGCTCTAGAGGTACAAAACCATGCAAAATTGATGGTTGTCTATTGAAAGCACCATTAGATAGGGAGAGCAAAAATGTTAAAAAGGTTCTCAGAACGTCGAGAATACAAATAGTTTTAAACTATTTTACGAGTCATAAGTTATATAATTCATGTCGGTTTTTATACTTTTTCCTCTCTCGTTGAAGGTTGTTCTCTGGATGAACCTATCCAATTGGTTTGTGTACAACTATTCTCTAAACCTTCATAGGCTCCTTTGACTAAGCATTCATAATTCCAAAACTTTTCATCAGTAATTTTCGTTGTCCATTCTCTCAAATTTTAGTTTATTATAGTTGTACACGGTTTCCGACTCTGCTCTTTAAATATAGATTACCTTCTCTTGGTAACAAATTGTTGCTTATCTTGACGTCAACCTTCTCCAATTCTGGAAATATGGAAGATGGTTTGATTGGCCAACTTGAATTAATTTCCTTAACTAAAAAGGAGGAGGGTGTAATAGATTTTGAATACAAAGACATTGCTGATGGAAACGCTGAGTGTGAAAGAAGCATCTATGTGAAAATTCTGTCCGCAAAACAGATCAATCCAGTAGCGTTGAAAAACAAGATGGCGGCGGTCTGGGGTTGAAAAGGTTTGAAGGTTACAAAGGTGTCTTCTTTTATGTTTCAATTCTTCTTCCAAGATGTAAAAGATATGTCTAAGGTGCCTAATCATGGGCCTTGGTGTTTCGACAACTCTGTTGATCCTTCGAGCATGGTCTCCAAGCAAATACCTTGGATACTATGTTAAGTGCACGATTTTGGGTGACTTGTAAAACAAAGGAAAAATAGAATCGGAGAAACACCCGCTTTGAGAGGAGTAGAAACTTCTGATGGTTCAATTTGAGAAGAACGTAATCTCTAAAACTTTACAAGAAAATTTATAACAATATTCAACATATCCATTTCACTGATGGGAAGACATTTAAATACAAGATAATAAAAACTGCCTTGATAACTAACATTACTCATGACTCCACTATCTTAGTAACCACTTAGGGTGCTTTTAGTTAGTAAGAAAAAGATGATTGAAAGTAAAAGAGATAGAAAGTGAAATGAAAGAAAAAAAAGTAAAAGAAAAATATATTTTCTTGTATACATTTGCTTAGTATATATAACTTTAAAGAAAATTTTAAACCAGTTTCATTCAATTGTTTGAAAGAAATGAAAGTTACAAGAAATTTTTCTAACTATCTAAATTATCCTTAATTAAGAAATTTTTCTAACTATCTAAATTATCATTAATTATTTTAACTCGGTCTAGAGAAGAAAACAATATTTTTTATTATTCATTTTTTTAAAAAATTGGCACCTAACCTAATTCAGAGACAAGAATCTACTCGAATCCTGATCTCTACACCAAATTATATGGTTAGCCTAATTTGTACAAAGTTTTTAAAATTAATAACTAATTTAATATTTTAAGAAAAATAAGGGTAAAATGAGAAGTTAAGTTACTGAACACAACTTTCTTACTTTTCCTTGTGTTTTTTTACAAGAAAAAAAAGTTAGTTAAATGTAAGAAAATCTAAGCCTAGAAGGTAATTATTTTTTTCTATTATTTTCTATTTCATGCTAAACAAACATATGTAAAATTTTAAAAAAATTTCTTTTTTGAATTTTGTAACATTATCTTGCTAAACAAACAAACCTTTAGGAAACTACTCACAAAATACTCTATCATTAACCCACTTATTAAAATTACTTCATAATACTACCTCTAATACTTCATAAAAAATATATATACTATCACAAACATCATCCGCTCACATACTTTTCTCTTTACCAAAAAAAACTTTACTTTCTCTTGTTTTTTATTCATTTGTTATATAATGAGGTTTCATCCTTTTTGTAGAACCATTTGTGAAATTTTATGAATTTTTTTTCTTAAAATCATAGAAATTAATTGTGATAGACGGGGAACGTGGTAGGGACAAGGATCAAAATTTACCCGTGAGACGGGGATGAAGATTATTTTTTTTTTTTGTTAATGGGAGTGGATGAATATTTTTGAAGCGAATACATGAGTGGTGACTATTCCGCCCACACCTGCCCAGTCCCTGTCATCCCTTCCCATAACACTGTGTCATTTGAGAGTGTATTTTTTTGGATACAAGTGATGGGTCTGACTAGGGAATGCTATACGAAGGAATTGCCGGCTAAAGTGGCGAAGAGCTTTCCCAAGTTTGATGTAGTTGAAATCAGAGAGACGTGGGGGAGGAGGAAACAGATTTATGAGGATTCATGTAGAGTTGGAAATCCCTCACCCAATTCGTCGGGGAATCAAACTTCGTGATCTTGCGTGATCTTTATGTTATTAATGCGGGAGAATGGGGCACATAGAGAAAGGAAAAAGAAGATATGGAAGCTAGTCGTCGTAAAGAAAGTCAGTATGGGCCTCGGTTGAATGCTCTAGTTGTAAAATCTGGATTAGTTGTTCGTCATCGTCGTGAAACAATCATCGATGAAGCAGTGATACCGGAGGATGTAACAGTAATGATAAGAGACCAATGCCGAGAATTAGGGCACTCTTCTAGGTACGTGGCATGACACGACTGTCAATCACAAGGAAGGCACTCACCCACTTTCCCCTATAACTGTGGGAGTTAGTGGAGGAATTGATCCAACCTCTTCAGGCCAAGTTACAAGCCCCTTCAATGAATGGAAAACAGGATTCAACAGACAAATGCATAAGTTATACTATGGATCATGATTTACGTTAGAATTTTTTTGGAGATATCAACTCTTTTTGAGGTGGGCTTGATTTCAGAAAATCCTTATAAGTCTGAAGTGGCCCCAACTCAAGGCCACATGGTAAAAACAACCCAATTCACTTAACATCAAAGAAGGTCAAGACTCTTATGCGCGGTGATTTTTTGCACAATAAATGAATGGACAGATCTCTCCCTTGGTGAACACGAGTCTTACTAGGAAAATCGATAATCTTGTGGCAAACGAAAGAGAGAGATGGTATAAAGAGTGGTGATGAATAACTTTTTCGGCAACCCGAACGATCCTAACGTATTGAGATGAACTTTGCCACTCAAAAAGAAAGGTTAGAAGGGCGCCAAAGTATTTTTCGGCTTGACCCCTCCGACGATCAAGTTAGTATGTGGGAGAGTGGAAGAAGAACACTGTTCTATAGCTTGGGTGAGATTTGTGTACCTTTGCTTTGCATTTGAGAGAGTTATTTATACCTCCATGAAGGTAATCATTCTGAACAGGTGGGTCCCTTGAAAAGGAAGCCCCTTATTGGTCCCTTTGGAAGGCTGCTTGCGGTGCATTGTCTTAGGGCAGAGTGTCTTCCTTGTCACACGAAAAGAAGTCTCTGCATTTAATGCTCGAGTCCCAAGCATTTAATGCACTCCTCCTGGAGTCTGTCGAGCAATAAATGTGTCTCATCCTTCTGAATGGTCACCTAATACCTCTTTGTGATGTCTACGCACAAGTAAGGGCATCTTTGTCCATTGACCCTCAATTCTGTGCTCTGTACCTCGTGTATCATTATAATTGGTTATTGACATAATCTCTCTGCCATTCTGACTTCTTTGGGAAGGCGAGTCAATGATTACTGACCAATGTTGGATCCAAGTAATGATAACCGTCAATCCACCATCCATATCTTAGGGTTTTGGAGCTGAGGTGACGTGTCTAGGAATGAACCTCGGGCGGTTAGGAACGCCGAGGACACGTGGCGGTTGGAGATCTCCTTAGGGAACTTTGGGAGCCGAGGATAGCTGTCACGTGATGAAGACTTCTAGGTGCCTTTAGTGCTAAGGATACGTGTCACTCACAGGGGCTCCGAGGGACCTTTAGTGCTGAGGATACGCGTCACTCGCAGGGGCTCTAAGGGACCTTTAGTGCCGAGGACACATGTTACCCAAGGGAGCACCCCTGTTTCCCATGTCGAGGACACGTGTCGACTCCTTGCTGATTCTTAGAAGTGTTCCATCAACTGCCATTAGCCCTTGATCTTTTAACAGCGGGGTGACGTGGTATGAGAATATGAAAGGGCTTGACCCTTCACCTTGCCTTCAGCCGCTTTATCTTCCTTGGGGTTCGTGCCCCATTTAATACGCCCTTCCTTGTCTATCATGTGCAATCATAGCACCCGACCCTATTTAAATAGAGCCCTTGCCCTCATTCTCTATTTTTGCAGTCTTCATAAAATCTAAAGTCTTCCACCAGAGTTCCATTAGAGAATCCACTGTTTGCCTGAACAGTTGCCAACTCCTCGATATCGACCAGCGAAGGAAGTCACCAACCTCTCTTCTGTATCAGAATCGCCCTCATTTGGTTAGTAACTGTTTTCCCTCTTTTGTGTTCTTGTTTGGTGACCATTCTCCATTTACTCTGTCTCATTTATGTTCTAGTAGTGTTCAACCATCCATATTTCTTCATTTTTCTTCCTTGTGTTCTCAGTAGCGACCTTTAGGCCTCCCATCCCCAGGAAGCACCCTTTTCGCATTCTCTTTTTTTGTTTAAACCATGTCGAGACGTCGTTGGAGTGAGAACGCCGGGGCCGATGAGGCTGGGCCATCAAGACCGAGGAAATACACCGTTAAGGGTCGACAAAAAATCACCAATTTTAAGACCCACTACTCCATTCCTCCTGAAGTAACTATAGATAACTTTGTTATTGGTCGCCACAATGTCACTGTCAACACCTAGGTGGCCATGCCTTTTTATACCAAAGCTATCATGGAAGGAGGCATTAGTTTCCTCTTCATCCCCTCCTTCTTCGCTTCCTATCCCGGTTTCGGCTCTTCTAGGGGCAATGTTATCTAAATACCTTTAGGATCATCATGGGGGGTGGTCACCTTGAATGAGCAACTACAACTGAATCTCAGCCTGGATGATATCCTCTTCTGCTATGCTTTGGTGAGGGTGACGTCTCAGCAAATGTTCTATCCTAAGGCTCAGGACCCTACGATGTACCTTGTGACCCACCTTCTAGACTCCGACGAGGGGTACAAAGATGATCTACTCATTTTCAGCAGTTAATGGAAGAGGGGAGTCAGCCCCAAGTACGCTGACTTGTGGTGCCCCAAGCAGTGGCGGAATACAAGTACGTCGGCTTTTCTTTCTCTTTTATGCTTTACAATTCTTCGGCATTACTGTTCTTGCCTTAGACACTGACAACTAATAATTATGTTTCTCTTTGTTTAGGGGTCTTTGATGCCGGCTCTGCTGTTCCCCCATGAAATCAAGTCACCCTTGGTGACATCAGCTTCGTTTGGAGTTACTACGGGAACAATGGTCTCGATCGAGCTGCCCACCTTCTTCTTGACTATACTCCAGGATACCAAAATTTATCTTAAACTCCTCAGCCATTTGACTTATCAAGGTGGTCGGCACTATTCGGGGAAACAGAGCTACAAAAGTCGAGGTAGAGGCTTCTGAAGACATAACCGTCGAGGTTAAAGAGATAAGGGATTCTTCCACCACCATCCACGCCGAGGTGGGCACTTAAGGCAGGGACGTTTAGCCAGACTTCGATGTTCTCCCAAGTTTGGACGAAGAAGATGCCTTAGAAGTAGCTATGTTAAACTCACCTCGCCTTTCTCTTAGTTTGATCAGGGAAAGGGTTATTTCGCTGTGGAACAGGGTTGTGGATTGGGCTCCGATGTTACTCCCAATTAGAGGCATACTTGCCCTTTCGGAGTTTCGATTCAAGGGTCCACACCCCTTCCCCACCACTCCTCCAACTGACGCCCCTGTCATGCCGATGCCAATTGGATGAGACCCGAGGGCATGAAAGGGATCCTCAACTTGAGGAAATGAGAGTAAAGCAGAGGCATGATGGCATTGGCCGAGGCAAGGGCACTCTTGATTTGACTCCAACACCTACTCCGACGCCAACTCCGACGCCGACTCTGATGCATACACCAAATGCCCCAGAGTCAAATGGTAGGGCCCGAGATCGTGACAACAGGTGGATCTGGGTGACTGACTCCATCATTGCCTTCCCCATACTGCTTATGCCGTGATTGAGGCCATCCTCTTTGATACCGATATGTCAGTCCACAGAGGGTAGGGGAACAACATCTTGTTTCGCTCCATCATCTAGAACTCTCTGGTGGTAAGGTTCTTCTACTTGTGAATTTTTTCTTCTTTTTTTTCGCTTTAGTCTTTCATCAGCATGATCCCTTCCATTGTCTAACAGATGGCTCATCAAATATCTGTCCTTGCCGAGCGCTTCCATACTTATTGGGAGAAAATCCAGGAGTGTAAGACACTCCAAGCCGAACTTGAGAAGGCCCGAGGAGCTTTAGCCTCGGCTAAGGAAGAGGTGGTCGCTCGAGACAAGACCTTGTCCACTCAGGCAGCCCAAATTGCTGAGCTTTTCAAGGAGAGCGAGGCTGCCAAAGTCAAGGCTAAAAAAATCAAGGCTTCGCTTGTCGGCACCGAGAGAAGGATCATTGAGACGACGAAGTAGCTGTTGTTGGCCTAGGTGAAGGTGCTCGAGTGAGAGCAAACTTGTGCCACCCTTACCCAGGAGTTGGACAAGTTAAGAATTAGAGGTGAACAAACGGATGGAGTAGGAGATTATCAACTGATGCGTCGACGATATCTTGGTGGCCTTCGAAGAGAACAAGAGGTGGAGCTTTAAGGCCGAGTGGGATGAGGCACTCCGGGCTGCCAGGGTCCCACCGAGTCTCCACTCTTCAAGGAGCATAAGTACACTCCTTCCGAAGAGATGGTACAAGCTGCTGCCAAAGTCGTGATTGAAGATGCTGGGACATCCCATGTGCCCAGCTCGGCTCTAGTAGCTGAGACTGTGACCCCTATTTTAGAACCTTAGGGCAATCCTTTTCTTTTTTCTGTCGACGTTGCTCCTACTCAAGCTCTTGCCGACTTGGCTCCTGCTCTTGCTCTTGGCACTATGCCTATCGCTTAGTTTGATTCTCTTACTGCCCCTGTTGATCTGGCACCTCCTTCTCACAGCGCCAACACTTTCTCCGCAAGCATCGATGAGATCTTTGGAGACATTGGAGGCCACATTGGCGGCGTGGTCACTAGGCCTCCTGGAACTTAGCTTAGTCTTTACTTCCTTGTAACTTAGTTTCCATTTTTGTTGCTTGAGGGATGCAAAACCATCTTTTTTTTTAATGCAAAAATGAATTTTCTTTTTCAAGTGTTTCTTTTCTCATTTTTTCCAAGTGTAGTTTCTTGGGGGTAATGGTCTCCCTCGGCCAGAGCCCTTCTCCTCCTTAGGAATAGTGGGCTCCCTCGGCCTTGGCTTCCTCAGTGGAGGAATTTCTAAGTGTTTCCCCTTAGGGGCCATGCCCATCTAGGAGGCTTCGCCCCTTAGGCCTCTTTCTTTCTTTTTTTTTTTTTTTGGGGGAAGGGGGTGGGGTGGGGCGAGTCTTTTTCTAAGGCTTCACCCTCAGGACCATCCTCCATTCAGGAGGCTCTGCTATTTTATTTCTTTGGAGGCAAGAGTCTTAAGACTCCGCCTCTAGGGCCATGCTCCTTCCAGGAAGCTCCGCTCCTTTATATCTTTGGAGGCAAGATTCTTAAGACTCCGCCTCCGGGACCATGCCCCTTCTAGGAGGCTTTGTTCCTTTATTTCTTTGGAGGCAAGAGTCTTAAGGCTCCACCTTCGGGGCCATGCCCCTTCCAAGAGGCTTCACTCCTTTATTTTTTGGAGGCAAGAGTCTTAAGACTTTACCTCCGGGGCCATGCCCCTTTCAGGAGGCTCTACTCCTTTATTTCTTTGGAGACAAGAGTCTTAAGACTTCGCCTCCAGGGCCATGCTCCTTTCAGGAGGCTCTGTTCCTTTATTTCTTTGGATGCAAGAGTCTTAAGACTCTGCCTCCGGGGCATACCCATTTCAGGAGGCTTTACTCCTTTATTTCTTTGGAAGCAAAAGTCTTAAGACTCCACCTCCGGGGTTATACCACTTCCAGAACAGCACACTTAGCAAAAATAAATCTTTGTTTCTCAAAAATAGTACTTTTTCAAATTCATTACATTCCATGGCTGAAGTACATTATTTCCTTCCATATCGTCTAAGTTGTACGATCTGGAGCCTCCTATTGACGTAACTTTGTATGACTCTTCCCAATTAGGATCCATTTTCCCGTCAGTCGGGTCACGGGTGTTCCTGACTACTCTTCTGAGCACTAGGTCGCCCACTTGAAATTTTCGAGGCTTTACTCTTTTATTGTAGAGTTTGGATACCCCTTCTTAGTACTTAGCTAGTCTCAAGGTGGACATCTCTCTTCTCTCCTCCACGAGGTCCAAGTCTAAGTCCAAGCTAAGTTAATGATCATTGTCTCTAGTGTCAAAAACTTGCGTCCTTATAGTAGGGAGTCCTACTTACTTTCACCAAAAGATTTGAAGGATCCACTATTAAATTGGGTCCCGTTATCCGACAATAGTGCATGGGGGACTCCAAACCTTGTCACTATGTTCTTTCACATGAACCTTTTGGTGTCCACGTCCCTGATATGAGTCAATGGCTTTGCCTTGACCCACTTTGTGAAGTAATCAGTCATAACTATTAGGAATTTCTTGTTTTCAGGAGCCCTTTGTAGTGGTCAACTAGGTCAAGTCTCCAGTGGGCGAATGACCATGGACTAGTTAGCAGGTGCAAGTCTCTTGCTGCCTGCTTGATGGTGGGATCGAACCTTTGACATTGATCACATTTTTGGACATAAGCTTGTGCATCCCTTTGTATTCAAGGCCACCAATACCCCTACAACATGATGTGATGGGCCATTGACCGTCCACTTGAGTGCTCCCCACATATGCCTTCGTGTAATTCATACAGGAGGGGCTCAATTTTATCTTCGCAGACACAAATCAAATAGGGTACGGAGAACAATTTTCGGTATAGCTTTTGATTTGGGGAGGCCTAGAAACTCAAGGCCCTTAACTTTATCTTATTTGCTTCCTTGGGACACTCAGGGAGTCTCTAGAGACAAGGACTTGAGTAGCGAATCAATCCAGCTAGGGGACTCCTCCCCCTCCAAGATGGCTATCACTCCGGGGATGTCGTCTATGCTAAAGTGGGGAAGGAACTCCGCAGTAATCCTTCATGTCCTGTTGGATTCCAACGCCGAGGCCAGACTTGCAAGGCATCAACATGGGCATTCTTATCTCGAGGGACTTGTTTGATTTCTACCTTCTTGAACTTGTGGAGCAAGGTCGTGGCCTCATGGTGATAGACTTTCATTCTCAATCTCTTGCTTCGAATTTCCCATTGATCTGGTTGACTACCAGTAAGGAATCACAATGGACCGTTAGCCCCGTAGCCCTCGTTACATTGGCAAGTTTGAGTCCAGAGATAAGGGTTTCGTACTCCGCCCTGTTGTTGGATGTCTTAAAGCCCAGCTGTATAGCTTGCTCCGTGACTAATCCCTGCGAAGAGACTAATAGTACCCCGATTTTAGAGCCCTTGTTGTTGGAGGATCCATCTATGCAGAGTTTCCAGAAGTGCACTTGGTTGTCTGCGGAGGGCTCCACCTCGGGGGATGTGGCTCCCACTTGGAAAATTCAGCTATGAAGTCCGCTAGCACCTAACCCTTTATTGCTATGCAAGGTCTGTAGTAAATATCATGTTCCCCCAACTATACGGCCCACTTTGCTATCTTCCCGGAGAGGTCTGCCTTTCTTAGGTTCGCCTTCAAAGGTCGATTCGTCAAGACGGTGATTGGGTGTGCTTGAAAATAATGTATCAACTTCCTTGCGGCCGTGACTAGCACCAATGCAAGCTTTTTCAAAGGCAATTACCTTGTCTCTACATCCAACAGAGCTTTGCTCACATAATACACTGGCTTCTATTCGTGCTCATGCTCGTGGACCAATATGCCTCTAACAGTGAACTCTGAAATGACTAAGTAGAGGAACAACATCTCCCCCTCTCTATGATGGACAAGGTCAAGAGGACCCTGAGGTACTTCTTGATCCCTTCGAGCACCTCCTCGCATTCATCATTCCTAGTATGCTTCCCGGACCTCCTAATTGCCCCAAAGAAAGGCTTGCACTTGTTTGACAATTGAGATATAAAACGATTCAAGGAAGCCAACATTCCTGTGAGTTTCTAGACATCCTAGACAGTTCAGGGGCTACGTACGTCCATGATAGCTTGTATATGCCCCGGGTTGGCCTCGATGCCACGTTGGCTTAATAAGTACCCTAGAAACTTCCCAAATCCAACTCCGAAGGCACACTTAGCCACATTCAGTTTCAACCTGTACTCTCAAAGAGTGGAGAAGACGTCCTTCAAGTCTGCGATGTGGCCATCTCGTTTCCTGCTCTTGACCAGCATGTCATCAATGTACACCTCCATGGTGTTCCCAGTTAGCCGCTTAAACATCCGGTTCATAAGCCTTTGGTATGTAGCACCTGTTTTCTTCATACCGAACGACATAACCTTATAACAATAGACCCCTTTGAAGTGATGAAGGCAGTCTTCTCCTAGTCAAGCAAATGGAGGGGGATCTGATGGTAACCAGCACTGGCATCCATGAATCTCATGCATTCATGTTCCGCTGTGGCATCGACTAATTGATCAACCTTAGGGAGGGAAAAATCATATTTTGGACAAGCCTTGTTTAAGTCCGTGAATTCTACACAGACACGCCACTTCCTAATCTTCTTCTTTGCGTAGACGGTGTTTGACAACCACTCTGAAAACTGTACTTCGTAGATGGCGTTGGCTTTCAGGATCCTCTCACCCTTTTATTCATCGTTTGGGCTTATGACTAGGATCAACATGAAGCCTATGAGTTTTAACATTAGGAGCACCTTTCAGATATCCTCCATGGAGTGATCGGTTAGGTCAATCTGCGGCTCATCGACGCCCGGCCATCTGTATTATAGTTGCTATTTGTTCAATACTTCCTCTGAGGCTTTCACGATAGCATAGAAACAACTCTTTGCTGAAGCTTGATTCCCACAAATCTCCATTATCCCCTCTGGGGTGATGAACTTCAACTTTTGATGGTAGGTGGAGTGTACTGCCACAAAGCGAGTGCAACCAAGTTTGCCCCATAATTATGTTGTATGGTGAATTAGAATTGATCACCAAGAACTCCGTGTTGATCGTGATAGGTCCTGTAGTGACCGAAAGAGTAATCTTCCCTAAAGGTAGGGCAAAAAATCCATTGAAGCCAATGAGGGGTGTCTTGACAGTGGTGAGATCCTCGGACCCGAGTCCCATTCACCTTAACACATTAAGGTACATCACCTCTGAGGAGCTCCCCGAGTCCACCAGGATTCTTTTGACATAGAAACCTCCAATCCGTAAAGTTATGATCAAGGCATCCTCGAAAGGGAGAACCACGCCTGCCAAGTTGGTGTTCGAGAATGTGATGACCCCTTGATCCATTTGGGTTTTCTTACTTGGCTAGCTCCCATCTTTCTCCTCCACCTTCTTAGCGAAGGCTACCATCTTAAGGTCAAAACTAAGAGTATTGGTTGTCGGCCATTCCAAGGGGAAGACGTGAATGATGTCGATGACATTACCACAGACAATGACCTGGTTGTCAGCGTCTCCCTCAGCGAATCCTCCTCAATGTACTTCTTGAGATATTCCACCTACACCAACATCTCCAGGAAGGACTTGTATACTCGGCAATCCTCCGTAAGGTGCCCCATGTCCTTGTGGTATGAACACCTTGCATTCTGATTTTTGGTGGACGGATTGGGCGGCCACTTAAAGAAGGGCTCCTTCTTGATCTTATGTAACAACTTGTAGATGGGTTCTTTGAATACAGTTTTGTAGGGACCAATTCTTTCCTTGGAGGGTCTGCCTCCTTCTCCTTACACTTTTTCTTTAGGACCAAGTTTCTACCTTTACTTTCTACCAACTAGTCCTCTATCCGAGAGTATTTGTTGATTTGGGTCATCAACTCGCTCATGTCCACTGGGGTCTGTTTCATCAATGACTTGTAAAGGTTTGTGTCCCGAGAAAGGCCAAGTCTAAAAGAGGCCGCTGCCATGGCCTCGGAGAATCCTTCGACCTCATTCACCTCTTACCGATAGTAAGTGGCGTACTGGCAAAGTGTTTCACCTTCCCTCTACTGGAGAGTCAATAATGATCTGACATCCTTGGGATGCTTGTTCCTCATGATGAACGGTGCGGAGAACTACTTGGTCAGCTCCATCCAAGACCCTATGCTATTTGGCAGAAGGGTCTCGAACTATTTCATGTCCGTATATGCTAGGCTTATTAAGAACACTCGACACAATAACATGTGATCTAAGTGATATAGGGACATCATTTGCTTGTACTGTTAGAGGTGAGCCTCTGGGTTAGAACATCCATTCTAAACTTTGAATCATGGCACCATAAACTTCTTCAATTTTTCCATCTCTATGATGTTTTTGGTAAATAGGGACAAAATGGCTTCATCATCTGTGTCGTCATCGGGGGTGGACTTATCCATCCTCATAGAATCCAACTTAGATCTCAGGTCTCCCCTATCCTTACGATGCTTCCTCTCTCCATTTTTGCATCTGGTAGGATGTCCCCAACTTCTTCGTTCTTCATAGAGAGGGTTGACTTCTCCTTGGACTCCTCCACCCCCTCTCCTGGACAGTCTATGACAAAGGTCGTTCCAAGCCAAAGGTTTGGTCTTCTTGGCTAGGACCTCCGGGTCCTGTCCATTGGCCCTTGGACATTTTGAAGCCTTGGAGCCCCCTGCTCCGCCACTTAGATGATTTGTCAAATCGCCAACTCCCACCTCCTTGGCTGAGGGCTCCCTAAATGATCGTAAGCTTAAAGATCCCTCATCGAAAAATGCAAACTCGTCGAGTTTGTTAAGGATGTTCACGTTATATTCCTCTATCTACCGTTATTGGTCTCCTAACCACTCTTCGATAAGATTGACGAGTTAACATGCCAAGGGAACGTCTTTTACACCCCTAGACTCAGTTCATTTTGGTGGGTTCTTTCACTCAAACAGATCGAAAGCTCTTTGCTAACGCTTTCAGCATTATCCTCCGTTCTTGATATGGAATGAGTCAGTATGTCGACGTTCCTTTGCTGACGACCTTTCCCTTTTTGACGAGTACTCACCATGGTCACTACCTTAAGAAAACTTGGTCGTTTCCCACAGATGACACCAAATTGCACGTGGTGATTTTTGCACAATAAATATACGTGGTGATTCTCTCCCTTGGTGAACACAAATCTTACCTAGAAAATTGATGATCCTGTAGTATATGGAAGTGAGATATGGTATAAGGAATAGTGATGAATTACTTTTTTGGTAGCCCGAACGTTCCTGATGTATCGAGATGAACTCTGCCACTTAAAAAGAAAGGTTAGAAGGGCGCTGGATTTTTTTTTTGACGTGACCCCCTGACGATCAAGTCAGCATGTGAGAGAGGGGAGGAAGAACACTGTTCTATTGCATGGGTGAGATTTGCGTACCTTTGAGGTTGCATTTGTGAGAGCTATTTATACCTCCGTGGTGGTAATCATTACAGACAAGTAGGTCCCTTAGAAAGGGAGCCCCTAGTTGGTCCCTTTGGAAGGCAGCCTGTGGAGCACTGTTATAGGGCAGAGTGCTTTCCTTGTCAGATGAAAAGAAGTCTCTGCATTTAATGCTTGGGTCCCCAAGCATTTAATGCACTCTTCCTGGAGTTTGTCGAGCAATAAATGTGTCTCGTCCTTTTGAATGGTCAATTAATGCCTCTTTGTGATGGCTGCGCACAAGTAGGGGTATCTTTGTCCACTGCCCTCAATTCTGTGCTCTATACTTTGTGTATCATTATCATTGGTTATTGACCTGCTCTCTCTACCATTCTGACTGCTTTGGAAAGGTGAGTCAATGATTATTGACCAATTTTGGATCCAAGTAACGGTAATCGTCAATCCGCCATCCATATCTCGGGGTTTTGGAGCCGAGGTAACATGTCTAGAAATTAACCTCAGGGCATTAGGAACATTGAGGACATTTGGTGGTTGGAGATCTCCTTTGGGAGCTGAGGACAGGTGTCACGTGATGAAGACTCCTAGGTCCCTTTAGTGCCGAGAACACGAGTCACTTGTAGGGGCTCTGAGGGACCTTTAGTGCCAAGGACACGTGTCACTTGAGGGAGCACACATGTTTCCCATGCTGAGGGCACATGTTGACTCCTTGCTGATTCTCAGAAGTGTCTCATCAACTCTAAGTCCATATCTCATTCGGAGGGTTCAACATCGACTTCTAAGAAGAAAGCCCGGGGAAAATTACTACGGAAGGGGAAAGGGAAAGGGATCAATAAACTTCAAATTCCTAGTAGAGAGGAGAGTTGGGAAATTATAGTAGTTGCTGATGGAAGAAAGAAGAAGTCTATGGAAATTTTACCCTCTACAGCTAAAGTCGATGAACCTGAAATTAGGAAGAGGGCTCGTCTTCCTATTGATGGTTCACGTTGCTTGGATTCAACAACGGACTGCTTAACATATTTGTTGTATTTTCTTGCAAGGTAGGCTATGTCTTCTTCTCCTAACTGAGTTGACTTCAATTCATCTCCCTCTTCTCTAACAGAGCACTAGGCTATTCCCTTAAACTTCTTGGGCAGTTGGAGATTCATTTCGAAAGTAAAATAAGCCTAACTAGGTCTTCCATCAACACCATCTTCAAATTGACTTCGATTTCCAAGGCCGTCATCTTAACATGAAACCTCTCCGAGATACATCTCAAGATTTTCCATTTGATCACAGAGTCATCATACTTGGTACCCAATGCAAAGGATAAATTTACAACATTGCATAATTTAGCATAGAAATTACAAAAGTTTTCATCCTCATTCATTCTCAAAGTCTCAAATTGATAGATGTACCTTTGGAGACGAGACATCTTCACTAATGGTGTTCTTTTGTAAGAAACTTGTAAGATGTCCCATGCCTCTTTGGAAGTCTCACAATAGGAGATCCTCTGAAACTCATCAAGTGTCACGACATTGAATATTGCATTCAAGCCTTTCGAGTTCCACCCCACATACTTGTACTCAGTTTTAGACCAAGTCTTTAGGGATTTTCGTTCAACCACGACTTCACCACCTTCAACCGGTGTGGTGGCCATCAGAGGGCTCCAACCCTCTGGCACACAAAACCAAACATGCTCATCAATTAATTTCAAAAACACCCTCATTCGAGCTTTCCACTATGCATAGTTTGTCTCATCAAAGAGTGGCACTTATGCTATTGAACCTCCTTTTTGAGAATCCATTAATAAACAACCGATAGTTATAAAGAATCTCAAATTACAAGAATTGAGTCAAATTGAAAAATATGCAACGAATGCCCACACTAAATGAAATTCAAGGAAAACCTTGTTCTAATACCAATTGTGGGAAAAAAATATAACACTTCATGTGTAGGATCTTTTCACTCGATTATACATGAGGAATCACATGTTAGACCTAGAGGGCGTGAATAGGTTTTTAAAAATTTTGCTTTGACAAACACCAATTTTAACCTAATTTAATGAAAATTTCCTCTTCTCATAATGATATGACAATCTAAGTGAGAACCCATTTATAACCACCACAACCCAAAACACCCATAAAGTTTAGTGTATTGATTTTATCAATTTGTTAATTAACGCTCAATCTTACAACATGATCCCAATCAAGGCAATCCAAACCCAATCAACCTACTATATGTAATATGTAGATTCAAACAATCAATTTATCAAACACATAGTGCACGTGTGTGCATCAAACCAAAAGTGTATATGTAAAAGTAATAAAAAACACAAGCAATTTATTGACGGGGAAACTCTTCTTAGGAAAAACAGCGGGGAACCATCTCAATTCACCAAAGCTTAATTCACTAAAACCAAAGTCAACCTATAAGTACTCGAGACTTATACCCCAACCAATCCACATGGCTAGATGTTTCTTTCCTTCGTAGATCTCTCCGTTCGAAAGTCCCTCTCTGACGTTATGGCTAGCTTTACTTGACCTCCCTATCGCACAGTTCATCTATGTCTCGAGCAATCTTCAAGGCTTCACACCCAAGACTCTCAGTTTTCACACTCCAATGAGTTTGATCTTTACCCAAACAAGTTATTCTTATCCAAATTGTGAGGTTGAATAGGAATCACAAAATGGTAGCCTTTGAGGTTAGGGATCTAGGGTTATTGGTTGAAGCTTTCTAAAAAGGTTTTAGTCTTTTCTAGCTTTTAGAGGCTTACCCTAGGTATAGGAAAGACACTTCCCTTTTTTAGGCTCAGAATAAGGGTAATCTTGATCAACAAGAAAACTCATTTTCGCAAATGACCGCTCGATCAGTGGATAAACCAAATAAAAATAAAGAATTAAAAAAGGAGCAATACGGTGGTCTCGAGAATGAAAAATAAGTTTCAAACCGACTTAGGAAGAGTAGGCTGCTCAAGCAACCTTGAGACCGCTCGAGCGACCTTTGAGACTACTCAAGCAGTCTCAAGGGCATTCCCTACTCTTCCTCCATCCTTTGCTCGTCTTTTCTCCAAGTTATCAAAAAATTGGTCTAGCAAATGCTAGCGAGCATATATCGGTCCCTACCAGTTTTTAAAGCATACAACTAAGTAAAAACTTATCCTTTTGAGCACTAAAAAGTGTTGCTCAAAGAGGTTCTGATTGTGACTTAAACTAAGTTTTCAAAACACAAAAATGATTTAGAAAAGCTTTCCTTTGAAAATTACCTAGGAGTCATAACCGGATCGATTCCAATTTTATTTTCATCCTAATCATCCTATGTTAAAATAATTAAGGGTTCATCTTAGGTATCTAGGTCATTACCTTTGAATTAAGTATAAGGTGTATATAGAGGTTGAATGATGTAGATTTGATGCTTAATCTCCTCCCTTCAATGACGCTTTTGGATCTTGAACTTGATAGCAACTTGACAACACAAATGGTTGGGATTTTACAATGGACTCCACAAAATTAGTCAATTATAATACATGTTCTAACAAAGCTGCCCTCTGTATTGCCCCACTACTACTACCTGTTCTCAAAGGATCTCCTCTAGCAAATGCCTATCTTCATCTAGCCTACTTTATGTCTCTCTCCCCTAGATTCACTCATTTCACTAGATCCTTGTACTCCCGGATCCTAAGTGCAACCAATTTCTCACGAAGAGTAGGCCTCAACCCCTGTTCAAACCATTTGGCCCTCCTTGCATCCATAGACACAAACTTTGTCATATATTGTGTCAATTCATTAAACTTCACTTCATACTCAGTCACCATCATATTCCCTACTTCAAAGCCAAGAAGTTTGTACTCATCTTATTCTTCACAGACTCAAGAAAATATTTATCTTAGAAGATTTGATCAAATACCTCCCAAGTCATCGTATCCACTAAATGTATCTGTGAATTTGATCACTCAACTGACCCTAATCTACAACACTTACTAGTGACCAATGGGTCCTTAGAACTCTTAGACATTTTTCTAAACATTCCAATCTTGAAGATATTGAGAGAGAGGTAGAGCTTATCCATTGGAGCCATCAGCATTCATTAATCATTTCCAATCTGCGAAAGAACGATGATATCAAGGATGAGATTATATTATGTGTTATTTGCCTCCATCCTATGTCATTTCTATTTTATCGTTGTGGTCAACACAATTTTTTTCTCCATTTAAGTTGTGTCAACATACCACGAGAATTGTAGCACCCAATTCACCATGAACACTCAATGGAACTTTGTCTAGGTAATAAATTCTTTTGGGTCTTTTGTTGTGATGCTTGCTACACGTACACCAATGGATTCGTGTATGTGTGTAAAGCATGTGAATTCGTCCTTGATGTCAAATGTGCTTTCCTACCTACTAAGATTGTACATCAAGATCACAAGCATCCATTGGTTCAAATTAAAGGTTCAAAACATCTCTGTGATGCAAGTGGTCATTCATTCTCTGAAGTGGATTTGAAAGCGAATTTGAATGTGATGCCTGCAAGTTCAATTTATCTCACCATTGTGCGCTACTCCCATGTACCTTTAGGCACAGATGGGACAAACATCCCCTCTACCCTGTGCTATCCTCCATATATTGTGGAATGTGTGAGAAAGAAATAAACCTCAAATTTTGTATCTACCATTGTAGTGATTGTGATCAATCATTTCATCCTGAATGCATTCAAGATTACTATTCAAACACCAAGTATAGGGGAACCCTTGAAGTTATTATCACCCACACCCTCTAGCATTTGTACGAAAGGCAGGAAAAAGTCCTTGAATTACTGTTGTGGTAATTCTTCTGATAGTGTTAGTCCCATATTAGAATGTGCAAAGTGTAATTATACATTCTGCTTAACCTGTGTGGAGAGTCTAATTGTAGAAGTTCTAATGGTCCAATGGTACTCCTTACCTTGTGAAAGTTTTGTCTTCTTAAGGTCAAGAATTCAGGCCCCCTTCCCCCTCCCTCTCCCCCTCCCCCTCCCCCTCCCAAATAAAAGAGTGGATCATGGACATGTATTATTGATTAAGCAATGTTGTCGTCCATTGACATCTCATAAAAGAGGATAATGCTTGAATAGAAAAGAGCACATTGAATAAAGCCAAAAATCACACTATGACCCCTCACTTGTGGCTCTATCTTGCATTGTACAACTAATTAACATTTTTGCAAATTTGCAGAAAATTGTCTAATGGCAAATTTACATTTTGTCGTCTAAAACATAGCGTACTTTTGTATTTAAGGAGATGATCCAAGTAGTTAATGGGACAATGTGAAAACATCAATAGTTAAAAAAGAAAATGAGATCAAGACCATATATAGTAGAATGGACAAAATATAATTTATCCAAGTTTGTAATTGGAAGTGAGGAAGCTTGTGCTATTTGACAAAAACATGAAACGACATCATATATTTATAAGAAAAAAATAATGTTATTCATATTTAATTTAGTGATCTATCTAATTTGATGATTTAATTCACTAAAAAAGTTAGATTGATATTATATATACTTCATCCAATATTGAGACTTTTTGTTAATTCAATGACTACAATGAATCAAATCAAAAGATTAAATTAGCATATTAGTTTTGAGTAGCATTGCACTTACTAAATACTCCGAATACCACGTTCTATTTCCCAGAAAGCCACTCTTTTGAACTCCAAAAAAGCAATTTACTTCTTAGAGCATGGTATTCATTTTCTAGGGTTTTCCTTTTTGTGGTTGTTCAATTTTCAAAAAAGAAAAAATTGCAAAAAATTATTGCTATTCAAACTCATGATACTAGAGGAACGCCAATCTAGATAGAATAATGCTAAACTATTTTGATAGTCCCACATAATTTGATCTCTCTCTCTCTCTCTTTGTCCTCGTTCTTCCTCTCTCCCTCTTCCTGTTAGCCTTCTCTAAATGTATGTAAATAGGCCACGTTAGACTAGTCCACCAAAAAAACTATGATTCATGGTTCAATCGAGCCATAAACTATTTTATTAGGATTAAATAAACTGTGTTTACATATTATCATTTGAGTTTTATTAG